TAACACTACAGGCACTACCAATGGCAACATAGTGACACTTTGTCTCACAAAACAAACAAACAGTATGAGTCATTGGTGATAGATGTGGGTTAGCATTTATTTGTAGTCTTAATACTGGGGTTCCAAAATATCCATAAAATATTTATCTCATCAGTGGCAGAGCATTTGAGTGTATAAAATACTATATTTATCTCAAGAGGATATTTAAGTTATTCCTTAAATTGTAATGTTGTTTAATCTTAATTATAGTCCCCCCCCAGATTACTGTGGGTTTTCACCCAAAATAAAAAGATGATTCTACAGTATGAAAAAAAAAAGACTTTTAATTATCATATTATATTGCCTTCCCAATTCCATTTTTATTTAACATATACTTAAAAATGTAGTAATCCCTCAGTTAACGGAACCATTCCTTTAGCTTTTAAATTTGACAAACATTAGCTCCTGTTTTTCTATGTTCTTACCTGTTATTCTGCATTCTTGGTAGAATCAGACTACTTTGTTTAGAATTGATTATTATGACAAACTCTTTATTCTATAGGATTTCTAAGCTTTACAGTGAAAAATGTATGTGATCCAGGAACATGTAAAGGCTTTGAGGTGAAATTTAAAAATGTTATCTTGAGACATTTGTTATTTCTCTCTTATATTAAGGCAAGATTGATGTTTCTGAGTTAAACAAGTTATATTTAAACTACATAAACTTGAAGTCTGAGTATAAGCTCAATGGAAAAGAGGAACTTTGGGAAAAATTACAGTATTTGTGGAAGGTACAACTTTTTATTTTATTTTATTTTATTTATTTATTTTAGAGACAGAGTCTCACTACTTCACCCTCAGTAGAGTACTGTGGCATCATAGCTCACAGCACTGAGCCTGGAGGGTTCAAACCCAGCCCAGGCTTGCTAAAACAACAGTGGACAATTGCAACAAAAAATAGCTGGGCATTGTGGTAGGTGCCTGTAGTCCCAGCTATTTGGGAGGCTGAGGCAAGATAATTACCTAGGCCTAGGAGTTGGAGGTTGCTGTGAGCTGTGACACCACAGCACTCTACACAGGGTGACAGCTTGAGACTCTGGCACACACACAAAAAATGTGTAAGCCTCAATTGGTTAAAAAATTTTCTTAGATAAAAAATCCTGAAAAAGGTTCTAATTGTATAGTCTCAACTAAAAATAGAGCTTTATCTATTTCATTTTTAGATTATTGGCAAGTAATTTTGGTTTATATGAAACAGATAAAGATAAATATTATTTCCATATTATAGAAATGTCAGCAAATAGTATCTTATAGGCTTTATAATTAGTAAATCAGCTCTATTCCCAATTTTATGGATAGGAAAACCTCTCTGAAAGAATGTACAGTAAGTTGACCACCCAATAGACTATAATAAACCAGTCAACAGGCTCGGCACCCATGCTCAGTGGTTAGGGTGCTGGCCATACACACTGGGGCTGGCAGGTTCAAACCTGGCCTGGGCCCGCTAAACAACAATGACAACTACAACAAATAAATAGCTGGGCGTTGTGGCAGGTGCCTATAGTTCCAGCTCCTTGGGAGGGTGAGACAAGAGAATTGATTAAGCCCAAGAGTTTGAGGCTGCCGTGAATTGTGAAGCCACAGCACTCTACTGAGGGTGACATAGTGAAACTCTGTGTCAAAAAAAGAAAAACGAAAAACCAGTCAATATTTGGAGGTGGTCAGCATAAGGAACTGGGCCCACTGTACTGATACGTACATGTGCATGCTGGGTTTGTGAAAATTAGATCAACTTAAGGAAGTGGTCAATGTAGCGAAGGGGTCAACTATGGAGGTTTTACTATATATTTTCAGTTTTTGAGTGAGTTTATGACAAAATTGGTAGTATAGTGATATTCTCTTTTAATGTAAAGAAAATAATGTAACAATTTATTATTAAAAATATTTATTTTGCGTTTCTTGCATCATTAATGTAGTCACTGTCATCTCTGTATGTTACCTTTATGTCAACGTATTTCTCTCTTCTCTCATCTCTAGTCTATTCTGAGTCTCTCCGAAGATCTTTTGAAGGTTCCTGATGAGTCATTCTTCTTAAATAGTGGTGGTGATTCCTTAAAGTCCCTACGACTCCTCAATGAGATTGAAAAACTTATTGGTGTGTCCGTACCTGGGCTTCTGGAAATGATTCTCAGCAGTTCCCTTTTAGAGATTTACAATCACATTCTTCAAACGGTGTTTCCAGATGAAGATCTGACACCCGGCAAGAGTTGTGCCACAAAAAGGAAACTCAGTGACATTGATCAAGAGGAAGCTGGTGGCAAAGCTCTGCATCAGAAATCTGTCGTGCCTTTAAATTGCGACAATGAGATTAAGGCTTTTGCACTCAGCAGAGGGAGTCAGGTTTCGTCTGTGGATCCTACTATGTCTTCAACTAAGTTAGGAAACTGCCTTTCAGTCTGTTCTTCTGATTTAATGTCACAGACTAACAGTCAGAATTCAGAAAGCTTAAATCCTCCAGCTCTAATCAGGAAGTCAAAAGACCTATCCCTTGTTGCAGAAGTTTCTGAAAAGGGCAAACCTGTGGCAGAGTCTGAGAAAACAGAGTTCTGCGTGCGGTGGAGGTCGGACACTGGCAAATGCGTAGATGCTTCCCCACTAGTTGTGATA